ACTGTTTTTAACAGATATACTTGTGCATAAATATGTATTTGATATTTGTCATAATTTATATTCCTTATTGTGCCTCTGAAAGACTAAGATTGTCAATCCATAGATACCTGTATAGTCCCATTTGATGGAAATGTTTTCCTCAAAATATGGTCCTGCATTGAGAGCACCAACTCACATCCAGGGAAGGTTAGGGGTTTAGGGTTAGTGAGGTATTGTCTGTGCTTCCATACGTCCTTCTGTGACTCTGATGTATCCTCAAATTTGAAAATCACTGCTCTAAGCTAAAACTACAGCCTCCAAGGTCCAAGATATGGACCCTTAAGTTTGCTGGGACAGAACCCAATGACCACAAGGATGGAGGTAGTTTCCTTCTCTGACCTAGCCATGTCAATGCTTCATGTCCACTCATTCACAGGTGGCCGGTATGCAGGCGTTGTAGCCCCAGGGAAGTTCCTGACATCTTGAAACATGATGTAAGGACGTGCGCTGGCAGTAGCCAGCCTAGGATGCAGGAAAAAATTGGAGGCTGGACCGGGGATTTAGCTCAGTGGTTCTGCTGCCTGCCTCGAAAGCACAAGGTCCAGAGTTCGATGCCCAGTAAAAAAAAAAAAAAAAATTGGAGGCCATTTTGCTCTGTCAAATGTCTTAATCAGCAAAATAATTAAGGGTTAGTCTTAATCCTCTTTTGCAAGAAAATTTGGTTGACTACTTGACTTTAGTCAGTCTGTGACAGAATAAAGCAAATCAATATAAGAAGGATAGTTGTAATAAAGAATAATTAGTATTTATTTAGCACTAAGTACCAGGTCCTATTGATAGCATTGTGTATACATTCGAATTTAATTTAACTGTGAAATAAAGCCCCTTTTTTAAAATAAGGAAACTAAGACACAGAGAGGTTAAGCAACTTTTCCCAGGTCTTATGAGTACCATTTAAAGATATGTTTTGAATGCTGGGAACTGTTTCTAAGTGCTGGTATTCAAATTCCAGCCAAAGAACTCTATAGCTCCTATTTGTAAGCATATAAGATTACAGTGTATTTTTAAACTCTTTTGTTTAATTGTTTTCTGCAGGTAAATGTGGAATGTATTTTGTGGAAGATAATGCTTCTGATACAGTTGAAAGTTCAGTGAGTAGAGGCTTAAGTTTGTATTTACACCAAACCTAGACAAATTTCCAAAATATGTACATTTAGTATAATGGGGCACAATTGGGTCTCATCTGTTGTCTGAATTCCAAACATTTTTTGAAAGATAATTTCAAGCAGTCTTTGCTTTCTCCTCTGGCTCACAGCCTGAGGCTCTCAGCAGTTACTGTTAGGAGTCAGATTCTAAAGTGCTGTTATTTCAATCTGTGTCCATACTTTCTCATCACTGTCCACAGTTGCAACACGTAACTACTCCCTAGCACTCCCAATTCACTGCCAAGTACCTTTGCCTTCAAAAATAAAGGAAAATTTTGTATAACTGAGTCAGTTAAGTTATCCTGATATTCCTGTAGCTTAGCAATTATACATATTCTTCTGAAAATACTGGTATTAATCATAAAATAACAAAAAAGACAGTTCACATTTTTGTAAAATTTTTTTAGCCACCTGAATTACGTTGTACACCATTTAAATATTTTTTGAGATCCCCATAAAATTAATATATATTTGATTTTAATGAAATTATTAATTGAAAACATGAAATGTGGTTATAAAACATCATATAAAAAAGTCAAGAAAATATTTAATATAGGCCAAAAAATTGATGAGATACTCTTTTTCTGATGTATATAATTACTACAGGGTTTGTCCCAGCTAATAAAGTATAGTTATGTTATTTTTGAAGATGCATCTTTTTTCAACCAAGAAATTTAGTAATTGATACATGAAATAACATTTTTCTGTGCCCAAAGATGACATTTTTCCCCCTTAACTGATTTCAGAAATGCCCATACTATTTGACAGATTGAAGGATTCTATGTACTTTTATAGTATTATTTCATCTTATTTGACATTTACTATTTTGCATTTTAAACATTTTACAAGTATGTCTTGCTCGTTTTTGGCTTATTCTTAACAAATACATTGCACACAGATGCTAAATATATGTTGAATGAATGAATGTTGAAGCTAACCAAAGGAGGAATTTGATTTTTTTCTTGAGAATATTACATTTGCATTTCTAATGTATTCCCTGCCTCTACTTCGAAAACATATTCGGGACCCAGTACAATAGTGAAACACACATAGGGTAAAACAGTACAAATTTAAAATTTTTTTAAATATTTGAGGAAATAAACAACTTGGGATAAAACTAATTGTAATTGAGCTGTAAATTTTGCTCTGAGTTTCCTCTTAGCTAACATAAGTAAAGTTTTCTAGCTGGGCGTGGTGGCACACACCTGTAATCCCAGCACTCAGGAGGCAGAGGTAGGAGGATTGCTATGAGTTCGAGGCCAGCCTGCACCACATAGTGAGTTCAAGCCCAGCCTGAACTAATACCAAGACCCTGTCTCAAAAAACAGTTTTCCAAAAGCAAAAACTAATTAGAAAAATAAAAAACCTAGGATACAGTTGTTTTTTTAAATTCTTTTATTGGTACATTTTAGGTATACAACACATTTACATTTCTCATTGGGAACTTGTACCTTTACA